GGTGAGATTTGAACAGCCGAACTGCAGAACTGCAGTCAGCTGAAGTAGCCTGCAGTGCTGCATTTAACCACTGCGCCACCTCGGCTCTTATATAAACCTAAGTGCTATTAATATTGCTAAAGTCAAGAGGGAAACCAGATTCACTTAATCGCAATGTTATTAGCTTAACAAAGGGCAATGATTCACTTAACAACTGTGGCAGGGAAGGTCGTAAAATATGGCATCCCTCACTAAACAAATGTTTCGCTTAGCAACATAAATTTTGGGCTCAATTGTGGTCGTAAATCGAAGACTATCTGTATTGTATTCCAGAAGTGGTCTTCTGTAGCTTTCAGGTCTCGGTTCCTTTTTAAGTTTGGACTCTGTCCAAATATCCAGCATAGCTACGATAAACATCTGAAGCGAATCGTTTCTGTTTATCACAGTGGAGCACTGCTGCATTTTGTCACAGTCTTGGCAGTGTGACAACGAACAATGAAACAAGGCACATGTCCTTTGGCGCCTTTGGAGAAGCTGGCTGAAATACGGATGGATTAAATTAATACGTGATGATATGCCCAACGGCATCCGTTTGATGCGACCTCCTCGGGGTCCCTTTTAGGAGTTATGTCGGTGGATTAAAGCTCTGGGAAAGCACAGGGATGTCTGTTGGTGAGACTTTGTTTTGGATAATAATTTTGATGAGACCAGGGGCTTCCGTGCAGCCCACCCGCCCAGGCACGCAGAGTCCCACATGGTAACCCATCACATCGTCAGATGTCCTGTAGTTGGCCTACCAGAGACTTCACAGCACTAAGAGCTTTACGGACTTCCATGCGTTATTACTCACTACGCTCACTTGGTGGAGAGATAATACAGATATAGATAGGATGTGGTATAGGGCAGTGATGGCTAAGCTTTTTGTGGTTGAATGCTAAAAATAGGAGGGCACCCATAATGCAAAGTGGACCCCACATGAGCATGCATGCGTGCACACACATATGCTCCCCCCCCCCCTGCACACTGCACTACTCGCCTCCAAGCTGAGCTTGGTATTTCCTCCGGTAGGCCAGGGGAAGTGAAAAACAGTCCCAACGGGCCAGTGGTGGGTTTCAAATTTTTTTGAAACCTACTCTGGGTGTGGCCTCCTTTGTGGGAGTGGCTTGCCCACCATGTGACCTGGTGGGGGTGGCTTGCCGGCCATGTGTTCTCTCTCTCTCTCTCTCTCTCTCTCTCTCTCTCTCTCCCCTTCCTTTTGTCTCTT